GACAATGCGCTTCTGCGCATTGTTACCTACGTAAACGTTCGCCTCCGACGCGGAATAATTAATCACCCGCGCGTAATCTAAGATCACCCGCTTTGTAAACACGATACCCTCCCGCCGTACGATCGTTCGCCACGATTACATCCATCATGACATTCTACGCAGCGCCAAATCGTAACGATTGCCAAACCTCAAGTATGCTTAAAACGCAACGCTGAGCATTACCTAATATTCTTGGATGGACATTCTGATGAAACGGTTAAATCCGTTGTGGCCTAAACTCCCACACATTTAGCTCAAGCTTTCGTGAAATTGCGTCTTCAACAAATTCCCCGCGCTGATATTTTTGTTACATGCGTTAATGTTACAAAATACTTTATTCAACACTTGGTACTTAATCATTGCTTACGATATTTCCATGATATTTCTTACACGGTATTTAATTCTGCTGTATCACTTTATCTCTTGACACTCAGATAATCGTTTTCCCATGCGTCATTCAAAGTCTTCGCTGACATTTATAGGGACTACCAACGGCATTCCAGTTCTCGACGTACCGTTGAATATCTCTCTCTCTCTTTCTCTCTCTTCGTCTCTCGGCTCGATATTCAGATGGCGGATTAATCCCGCGCGTAGATTGTGTCGTCAAAAGTCCGACAGCCGGCTCGTCGGGACGCTCGCAAAAAGGCGCCTTCAGATTTGAAATTGCTTTCGTCTCGCGAAAGTCCCCTGCATAGAGCTAGCTAATCCGTGCCAGCTTCTAAACGGTTGCCAATCATTTCCGGTTCTCGGATTAGTCGCGCGTCGAAAAGTCAGCGCGCTTGTCCGTAAGGGAAGCGAAACGGCCCTTCTGGCAGGACCTTCCGGGCCGGGACACAGAGGTGACAACAATGTGATGCCGGGGACGAGTGTTGGCTTCGTAAGCAGCTTACAGCGCCGACTCGCACACGCGCCCAAGAAATGATATTCCGCGTTGAGAAAGATCGGGTTTTTTTCACGTCTTTCTCAACTCAGACGCTAGAACGAAGCGCATTGATCCGATATTAAAATCTGTATTAAAAGAAATGCATAAAAGAAGATAGAAAAGTATTTATTTATGCTTTGAATTATTTCGAGCTATTTATGTTTATACTCGTGTGAATCCGACGCACGTCGCAGTGGCGTAATACATCGTCGTTATACATTTACGAACTTGGAATTTCTACTTCTCAGAGAAAAAAAATTCGAAATTTTAGCGTCTCAAATTTCTTTATATCTCACTTATATCTCATTTTTTACCTTTTAAATTATTGAGTGTATATCACTAAATTTTTATATGAGATTCTAATTTCTATCTATTCTTGCTTTATATGATATAAATGGAAACTTCGTTGTGTAAGAAATCGATTATGTTGCAAATGACTGAAAGAGCAGTGAGCAAAACACATCGCTTTCGAAGTTAGCGAAAAGATAATTTCATCGTGACATTGTAAGATATGTATGGCGATGTAAAAAAAAAAAATAGATGAAATTAAATGCAGCATATACTTCCTCGCATGCGTTCCGCTTCGCGATTAGACCGGCGTCGCTGCCTCAAATTGCGTCTCGCTAATAATTCCCCGCTCATCAGCCTGATGCACACGAAACGCGTGTAATTGTCGCGTAAGGACATACCCAGAACGATAATTAGGGGCTCGCGATCCTCCAGCGAGAAGTAAACAGCTAACGAGCGATCAGCGGCGCGACGTATGATCGATGCGTAAATCCGCCGGCAATTACGTCTGGCTGTTAGTCCGACGTTAATAATTTTCTAATCAACGCCGCGTGAAAGATCGATCGTATTTGTACCGTGACGAGCCGCGGCGTCGCTCGGTCCCGCCGTTGCGCGATGGCGGAATGTAATAATCGAGATGGAAAATTGGAATGGACGGACGCGCGGGACGCTTGAAGGACTGGGTGGACGGCGAGGGGACGGGGGAGGGGATGGAGGGGTGGACTGCCCCGTAAAAAATCGCCTGGGCCAATCTATGTGAAAGCGTACGGCGCGGCAATTACATCGGCGTTACTCCTCCTAATTGTCCTTCATTAATAATTCTGCGACTGTGTGGCCCGAATGGCGTACTACGGAAGGTGGATATCACACTTACGCATTGGCGATTATGGTCGCGCGCGCGCGGGGTGATAACACCAATAACGAATGCGCGTTTTATTAGCTCGGAAAAGAAAGGCGCCTCGCGTTTTAATAATCGCGGCTCTTCACATGTCTGTGCGACTACTACAGTAGAGAATTTTTTAGGGTTTCGAAACGAATGGCTCGATATGGATTAGGACTTTGTTCGTCGTAAGGAACTGGCTTGACTCGCAGTAAGCCAGACACGTTTATTTATTAATGAATGCGATCGACTTGTTGATAGTATACAAATATACAATATACAAACTCGTAAGATGTAGTAAAAATTGATTATGTAACGAGACGACTTTCTAATGGGCCTTACGTACGACATGTTATGACTTTCTTTTATCGATTTACAAAGCGAGCTATTATTTGCTAATATATGCTTTTCATGTTAAATCTAATTAAAGAATAAATCTAATTAAAGATAAATACAATGTGCTGATAATAATATGATGATAAATGCATCAAAACTGATCGATGACCGCGATAATATTATCTTATTATTATTCGAAGAATCATATTTTTAATATAATATCATTAATCGCGAAAAGCATGTTTGTAAAAGAAATAAGAAGAAATTAAATTACTCGAAAACAAATGACAATGTTTGTCATACGCTCTAGTAGATATGTATTTTAATCGTCGCAAAATATTAGTTATAAAATATTCATTTATAAAATAAATCGCGTAATCGAAGAATGCTATTTCAGCATTACACAGAAGATTTGTACGTGAGTCTCACGTTTTTTATTTTTTATGAAAATGATTTTAGAAATGATCTCAGAAGAGATAACATCTTCCTCCGAGCGTCGTTCTCCGACGAGCGAGTTATCGTTACATCCAGTACCAGAGTTTAGGTATAATAAAAACGTAAGAGCAATAGAGAGCACACGTACGATCGTGTCGCACGATTCGTAGCCCGGCACGATCCATCCCGGCGATATATCTCTTATCGCGCGGGCACTTTTCCCTATTCCCCCCGTGTCACCGTAGCGAGGCAAGGACGACGATTATCGATTACCATGACGTGACTCTCGAGATTTCCAAACGCCGCGCCGGGGCTGGTCATTGGTCTTGTCCGTGAAACACTTAAGTGGCGCTATAAATAGTGACGCGCGCGCGCGCGCGGTGCAAGGTGCGAACCGTCGCGGCGAGTCAATGTCGTGGAAAAATCGGCGCCTTAATAGCCCGCTGATGTTTTCACAAGGAAGAAGCGCCGGATTTAGTCGGCGCGGAAGCGGTATTAGTGTTACCCACGAGCCGCGCGCCTCGCCCCGCCGCCGCTTCTAATCACCTCGCCGTCGTCCGCGTAATTGTTGCTAATGCGCTCCTTTGAGAAAATAAGCCGATTACGGAATAAACAGCCGGCTTAGTCGTTGTAGCGAGCGGCTTCGCGACGTTGGAGCGTCGCGTTTAAAAACAAGCAGCCCGAAGAGGAAAGGAGGACGATCCGGTCGGTCGGGAGAAGAAGCTGCGAATTAACGGAAATTGTGCCGATCGCGCGCTCGGCGCAGGTCACCTTAATAGCCCCTTCGACGAGTTCGAGAGAGAGAGAGAGAGAGAGAGAGAGAGAACGAAACCGCCGCCGCTACGTTTCCTGTGATCCGGTCCGGGTTGGTGGTC